CAGCTGGCCGCTCACGCTGGCTGCTGGCTACACACGGTAGCCCATGGCAACCCACTGCCACAGGGGCTGCAGCCTACGCTGTCGCCAGCGACTCACGGCAGCCCAGCTCCAGGTTGAGCTGTTGTTCAGCATCTTAGCTGTGGAGGGCAGTGTCACTGGCCCTCATGTGAGATCCGAACCGGGGTCCTCTGGCGTCCCAAGCCAGTTCTTAACCATCGCGCCACTCAGCCGGCCTGGGGCTCGCACTCTTGAGCAAGCTCTTAACCAACCAGCTCTTAGTCAATTGAGCCGCTTGGCCGGCCCTCTCCCTCCTTGAATATGGATCAAATATTTCTCCTTTATACCCACTTTATACTCTATGCCTGGTTCTGTCACTGGGCTCTTACATTGTATTGTAATTTTCTCCTTCCACTCCTAGGCTGAGCACCCTTAAAGTAAGGACCTGGCCCTCTGGATCAATTAGTGCTCAATGTTATGGCCTCATCAGGATCTATCTAACATGGCTGTCCAGAAGTGAAGTGGCGTGGGGAAGTGGCTGGTAGTACACAGGAGGAGTTGGGCTGCCCCAGGACGTCAAAGCCCCTTGAGGTGCGGTGGAGGCCTTGGAAGTAACAAAACTCTTCTTCTATGTGTTAGCTTAAGAAATGCCTCATCCGAGGGGCAGCCGGTTAGCTCAGTTGGTGAGAGCGCAGTGCTCATGGCATCAGGGTTGCCGATTCGATCCCTGCATGGGCCACTGAGATGCGCCCTCCACAACTAGATTGAAACAACTGCTTGACTTGGAGCTGATGGGTCCTGGAAGAACATACTGTTCCCCAATGAAAAAAAAAAAAAAAAGGAAAAAAAAAAGAAATGCCTCATCCATATTACTAGCCCTAATTGTTACCAGCTCACAGAAACCAGGGGAATTGCCTGACTATATAGTGAGTCACTGACCAGGCCTGGATGCACACTTCCAGATCTCTCCGCCAAGGCCCCTCCCTGTCAGAGCACCGCGTCTGGTCCCTGCAGCTCCGACCTCGCCAGTCTTGACATATGCTAATTTAACCACGAGGGGGCGCCAGATGGCCGTCCGTGTCCCGCTGAGCGACCGCTCCTTTGACTTTGGCCCATCCGGACTGACACCGGCTGGTAGAGCTGGAGAGTCCTGGTAAAGAAAGGGTTTGTTCGGGGGCGGGATGGGGGTGGGGGCTGTGTTGTAAGACAGCCGGAGTTCAGAAGCGTTGGCAGCGGAATGGGGGAGGAGGAGAGAAGGGCATTTGTTGCCTTCTCTGGCCCTGCCTTGTCTGGCCCTGCTGGGAAAAGGGCAGAGCTGGAGAAAGGGAGGACTCTCCAAGAGCCCAGGGCCCCTGCTTCCGCCGCTGTTGTCTTCAGTCTAGCTCAGGAACAGACCGGACATTCCTAAGTCTCCGACGGGAAACCTGGAAATAGACCAGGCCAGCCTCCCTGCAGCCTGGGCCAGCTCTTCCAAAGCCCCCTCAGCCCCAGGACTTCCCGGAAGAGCTCTGCTGCGCCAGAGGCCCCAGGCTCCTGAGCACTGCTCCCCTCCTAGAACTTGCCCTGCACTCGTCCCCTCTGGCTCCTTGCTCCCAGCCTATGGGATCAAACCCCTCCCATGAGCGCTAAACCTGTACAGAGAAATTGTTATCCACCGAGTTCAGGTCAAAGTCATGATCTGCCCCTCTAAAACCGGCTCTCCCTCCCTCCCTCCAGTACCTATGTGGTTATTTGACCAGAAACCTGGCAATCATCTTTTGACACCTTTCTTCTTCATTCCCCATGTCTAGTCCATTTTTTCACCTTCTTTCTATCTCTTGATTTCCACTATTCACTGGACCAAGTGCCCATCATCCCTCACCAGAACTGGTGCTCCTGTCTGAATTCCCTAATACCACTCTTCTCCCCCTCTCCTTTCATTCCCTTCTCCAGGTGGTAACCCCGACACTCTTTTCAAACCATCAATC